AAAACTCAAATTAAGCCCATTAAACAAACAATAAAGACTCTTAATAATAAAAGAAATAAGAGTGGATTACTAAATTTCATGGGAACAGCAGAAAAGTGGCTTTATGGCACCTTAGATGCAGATGACGGAGCAAGGTATGATTCATACATTCAAACATTAAATGAAAATCAGCAAACCCTTGAAAGTAATTTAAAAAGTCAATCCCAAGTTCTTAAACAAGTAACTAAAACGTTTCATGACCAATTTCTAAATATTGAGACAAACCAAAAGGTCATAACGGATAAAATAAAAAAACATTTCCATTGATAATGAAAATATTCATACGATGGATTTAAATTTAATATTGAACAATATCAATATGGAAAGTAATAAAATCAAAGATCTAATCGATCATATTCAGCTTGCCATAAATTTTGCACAGTTAGGTGTTATGCACTATACTATTTTGCAACACAATGAGTTGAATCAAATATTAGCAAATATACCGAAAAAATAACAAATTCTATAAAAACAATGATTACTCAAGTAAGAATTCAGGAAGAGCTAATAATATTTGTAATTTATACACCAATGCTCGATCCAATACCATTTCTATTGTATAAAATGTATCCTATCCCTATTAAAAACCTAATATAGACACTAAGTACCCTTACCTTATACTCACTACCGAAAGTTACTACAATTCATATATGGAATGCCCTGAAGTAGAGGATGTGTACTTATGTAACTTTGAGACATTGAAACAAGAAGATTCGTGCATCTATGATCTTATAACTAAAAGACAGCACTAGTGTCCTTTCCTGAAGATACATTATGAAGACCCAACAGTTAGGCAACTTCCTAATGGACAATTATCGATAACTCCCAAGAAGAGCCTGACCATGGTACTCAATTGTGACAAGAAAAATCATATGGAGTTATTAACCTATCTAACGTTAGTCAGCCTTGAAGAATGTCAAGCGACTATAAGAAACTAGACGTATTCAAAGATTAATGAAAACTTTAACTTTTAATTCAAAATTCCGAAAATACAAATTCCGGAATTACCAGAAAATATGACGATCCAGAACTTAAAGGAAATCAACCACGAAGCACTACAAGAAGCCATCAATAATGCAAATAATTTACATGTGCAACCTTTGAAAAATTTGGCTTACTTCACCGATAATGTCAATACGTATAGGATTAGGTATTATTATTATAATTTTCATTTTATTGTATCTTTTTTTTTTTTTTTTTTTTTTTTTACGGATATGCGGCACTCGCAAGGAAATGTCCTATCACGCTCGAGAAGCGGCAAGTGTGCGGAAATGTCGGTGTATGTTGGTCTTGAAACGGTTCAGGTTGTAACCTGCAGGGAAAACCGTCGCAGGGAGTTTATTCCACAGCGATGCTGTTCTCCAGAGATATGAATTCTGATATAATGAGGTTCTTGGTGCCTCTAGTTTGACAGTAAATTCATGGTTACCGTCTGTTTGACGGGTTCGCCTGGTAGGTGCTACTCTCGGTGGAATCATACGTGCCAACTCTTCAGAGCATTTTCCGTGATAGTACCTGTAGAAGAGAGATAAATCGCCCACAGATCTGCGATGTTCGAGACCATCCAAGTTACGAGTAAGTGCGGGGTCATTGATCAGCTTGATAGCTCGTTTTTGCACGGTATTCAAAAGCATTAAGGTATGTTTGGGTGCTGCACTCCATATATGTGAGCAGTACTCCATAGTTGGTCGAATCTGGGTTTTGTAGAGTGTCAGCAATTGGCTTGGTGTGTACAGATGTCTTGTACGAAATAGCACCCCCAGCTTTTGGGAGGCCCTTTTAGCAATATCTGCCACGTGACTGTGCCAAGACATGTTGGTCTCTGCAGTAACCCCCAAGATGTTCAACTGACTCTGTAATGTGACAGCACTTCCAGATAGCATGATGTTTGGCTCACCGGTGCTGGTCTTTTTTGAAAACAGAGCTGCTTGGGTTTTCTGCGCGTTGAACTGTACAAGGTTTTTGTTACCCCAGTCCTCTATTATCTCCAGGTCGTTATTTATCTGCGATATTTGAGTTAGTCTAAGATGATGGAATTCACGTGCGGAAAGACCTGTGGGTGGTATGAGTGAGGAGACTACATTGCCATCGTCTGCAAAGCAATAAAGTGGATTTACTGTTTTATCTATGAGGTCATTTATGTAAATCAGGAAAAGAGTTGGCGAAAGGATTGCTCCCTGTGGCACACCAGCATTTATTTGGTAAGAGTTGGAGTTCTGGCCATCCAGTGCAACATAAATGGATCTGTCCATTAGGTAACTTTCAAACCAAGTGCAAAGTTTCGGCGATAATCCCATTGCTTTGAGCTTGTTGAGCAGATTTTCATGCCAAACTTTGTCGAATGCTTTAGATATATCTAAGGCAATTGTTCTTGTTTCACCCCGCAACTCAATCGCTTTTTGCCATAAGTGAGTGACGTATGTAAGTAAATCGCCAGTTGACCTATATTTTCGAAATCCGTATTGCTTATCGTTGATAATTTTGTACTTTTCCAAGTACTTGGTTAGGTGATTGTTCACAACTCTTTCCATTACTTTTGATATCACCGGAAGTAGAGCAATTGGTCTATAGTTTAACGGATCTGTCTTTTTTCCTTTCTTTGGAATGGGTTGTACTGCGGCAGACTTCCATGATGATGGATATGCTCCTTGCCTGTTAGACAAATTGAATAATTTTGCGAAAGTTGGGGTGAGTTCGTTGGCGCAATTTTTGAGTACCATTGCGGGAATGCCATCCGGACCCATTGCTTTGTTTGTATCCAGCTTTTTTAGGGATTTTCGTATTTCTCTGTGACAAAAGGGTACCTCTGGCATACTATGGAAAACCCTTTCAATGAACGGTGGAGTTTTTCTGTTTGGCACTGTTAGGTTGGAGTTCGAGGAAAACATTTGGGCAAGCATATTGGCTTTTTCCTCTGATGTTGTGGCTAAGTGATTATTTTTATCTGTAAGTGGTGGTATGGATGACCTGGTGAAGTTAGATCCAACAGCTTTTGCAAGAGACCAAAAAGACCTAGAACTACTTGGACAATTCAGCAACCTGTTTTTTATTCTTTGATTGTATGTTTCTTTAGCGGAGTCAATAGTAATTTTGCAACTATTTCTGGCTTCTATAAATTCTGTGTGGTTTTGAGCGGTTTGTTGTCGTTTCCAAAGGTTATATGCTCTGTGTTTTTTCTGTACAGCCGTTTGACACTGGCTGTTGAACCAAGGTTTTGCATTAGCTCTACGTTTAGTTGTATGTGGGATATATGCGTCCATTCCAGATAAGATTACTTGTGTTATTTCATTACAGCAAATAGTGGGATCAGCTGTTTTAAAGCAAACCTCTTGCCGTGGAAAATCCAGGTAATACTGTTTTAGGTCATTCCATTTTGCCGATTTATAGTGCCACATTTTACGAGGAAGCGGTTGTAGGCTTGGTGGGATGAGCATTTCGCACTTTGTTATTATAAGTTTATGATCGGACGAACCAAGTGGAGCATCTACTTGAATTGTGTACGAGTCAGGATTGGTGGTTAGGAACAAGTCTAAAAGCGCAAATTCGCCCCTTTCTGAGATACGGGTAGGTTCATCGACAAGCTGCGTTAGACCACAACTTATGGCAAAAGCTTCTGCTTCTCTGCCTTCGTTATCTGTTTTGTTGTGGTGTTTCAGCCAGGGTATATTGTGGACGTTGAAATCGCCTAAAAAGACAATTTCCGCCTGTGGATAGTTTGACTGTATACTATCACAGCTTTCGGATAATGTCGCGAAAAAGTTTTGGTAATCGGTGTTACTTGGCGGTCGGTAGAGGCAGCAGATAAACTTGGTCGATGACTTTGAGGTGAATTTTAGCCATATGATATCAAGGTTCGCTGGTTCTAGCTTCTCCTCTCGATGACATGAAAGGTCATTTTTAATGTACACACAGATCCCAAAATTATGTCGAAATCGGTGGTGTAGGTCATAGCCGGGATAAAGATAATTCACAATAGGTGTTGCAGAACTGATTTTAGTTTCAGTGAGAACAAGGATGTCAGGTCTTTGTTCTTCAAGATGTTGGTGAACTGAATTCATATTTGTACTTATTCCTCTAATATTGCTAAAATCAATTCTGAGTTGAGTTTTTGATCTTCTCTTTATATCTTTGCATGAAGGACCCCCAGGATCACCCGACGCCCGGAGATCCGAGTGGTCGGGTATTTTACCTCCGGAATATTTTGATCCTGGAGGCGCCATCATGCTATCTGTTACTCATTGTTGGAACCGGACTGCCAGCGCAGTAGCGGAACGTGGTGATACCACTTAGCGCTACTCAATTCTGGCATGGTGGTATCTCACCGGTCGACGCCCAATGAGTAAAAAGCGTCTACCACCTACTAATAGGAACCGTGAACAACGAAATGTCACTATTGTTGAAATTGAATTGTCAGACCTATCAAAGCACCGACAAACTCAATTTGCAACAACTTAAGGAGGGAGGAGTTATATGGTCCAACTTCCTTACAAATAAATATGGTTGTTTACCTTTTTTTACTAGCTTTTAGCAGTATATTTAATCCCCACCGCTTTTTAGCATAAGCATACATTGTAAGTTGGTAAACAACATAGTTGCTTATTCACCAATATAATTATATAAAAGAAATGGCAACCAAGCAGGAGCGTTCTATTATTTTCAGACATTGTCCGAGTAATTAGTTCCACCTATTTTCGTATGTCACTTAACAATATTTTTTATTTATTTTTATTTTTAAATAAATTGTTTTTAAAAAGTTAAGTTTCTGATTCGCTTAGTAAATTAGTTCAAAAAAAGTTGTTGTCAGTGAAAAGACCTGCAGAATCAGTAACAATACCACATTTTCTTTCAAGTTGAGAGAGACTTACAAATCTAGATATTAAATATTTTTGATATATTTTCGTAGATTTAGCAAATATATCTTTAATCATAGTCTGTATATTCAACATGATTTTTTTTAAAAGGAACTCTTGAATTCAAACTCCGCTGTTGAAGTAACCGGCCCAATCAAATTTGTACATCAATGGGTAAATATGCCAGAACAATCGGTAGAAATACAGTTAGAAAATGGAACTACAGAAATTGTAAGCATCTTAAGTTATTTTTTATTGGTCCTTTGCAATTTGAATTTATCAGGTTCATGGTTGTCATTCAGCAATGGGCTATGGTTTTGCGGCAGGTACAGTTGACGGACCTGGAGAATTTGACTTCAAACAAGGTACAACCAGTGCCAATCCTTTCTGGAATTTGGTTAGAGATTTTATTTCTCCTCCAACTGCTGAAGATATCAATTGTCATTATCCAAAACCAATCCTGTTGAACACTGGAAGGGTAAGCTACTTTTGTTTTGCTTGCCGTTAAAAATAATTAAAAATTTGACCACCAAAAGAGACGTTTACTTTACTGGCAAAAAAATTTCGTTATCCACACTTATCAGGCCATAAAAGTCGGCCCGTTTGAAAAGCTGTCATAAACCCTCTTGATATAAAGTCGAAGTTTAACTTTTACGAATCATAAAAAAGAAGCAGCAACTTTTAATTAAAACGCACGCTTACAGAAAATAATAATTTTACCACGTTTTTTATTGTACATTTTAGATCGTAATTCCTTATTCGTGGCAACCAAAAATCGTCTCCAATCAAATTCTTTTACTGGGGAACTTTGCCATTATAGGTGTGCCAGGAGAACTCACTACAATGTCCGGACGGAGACTTCGTGATACAGTAAAAACCGCTATTATATCTAGTGGTGGAGATCCCAGCACTCAAGTGGTCTTGGCTGGATTAAGTAACACTTACACAAGTTATATTGCTACTTTTGAGGAATATCAAGTAAGAAATTTTGAATTTTATTGAGTGCATAAATTTAATTTTCTGGTTTTCTATATAGTCTAGACATGAAACGAGTGAAAATTTGCTAGGGGATTTTTAATGATGGCCTTTTGAAGGAATTTTGCCCTCTTTATAGTATCATACTGTGTGCCACGGTCTGGCACAGCCTATCATTAGAATCTTTACTAGGAAACTTTGAAAAGTTTTATTTCGTCAGTTTTAATGTCGGATTTTTAAGTGCGTTTTTTTCTATCTATCAGCAATTATTTTGATCCTAAGAAAAACTCTGCTAGATGACATTGACGAAATTAAAGACAAATTAACAAAGTACTGAAGTAAACATGCAAAAAAGTGTCTAGAAACTTTACAGGATTATTTAGGTCATTAAGTAATGATTCAATTGTCTGTCTATTATGTTTTATTTCCAAGCTAGAAGTTACGCAAGAAAAAATATTCAAATTTTCATCAGGTTTTTTCTATCTAGTAAGCCCTGATAATGAAAAAGTGACGTTAATGCTGAGGATAAGAAAAATAGCCTTTTATTCTCTACAAAAACATCATCACAAAATATTAATAACAGATCCAAATATTATTTTTCATTTTCTCGGTCATTGGCTCAATTCAATATATCCTTGTTAAAAGGAATGACACTAGCAAATAATATTTTGATACAGAGAAAAAAAAAAGAAACTGGTAGAAAAACTGAAAGAAATTGTATTCTTGTGTGAACGCATCAAAAAGATGGCACTTCAATAAAATAACATCCAGCATTATGATTAATTACATATTATTGAATAAGCAGAAGCGAAAGGCCATTTATCTTTGCTCCTGAGATGGTTTCATTTATCGCTCATTGAATTTTCTGATAATAAAGACAGATGCCTTCCTTTGTAGTGTGGTATAACACACCCAGGTTCGTTCAGCAAGATTAAATGATTAGAATTTTCATTAGGTAACTCTTTTTTTAACAAATCTTCTGGAAAACGAAAAGAAAAACAAATTGGACCCACAATGTCGAAACTTAAGGAAAGTTGTGATATATATAAAATAAACAAAAAAATTGTGAAGCGTCTAATTTATTATTACTGAAAATCGTATAACCGTTCTCGACCTGGAAATCACGAGAGGAAAGAGCACGGCAGATAAACCCTCAATCTAACATTCCTCAAAAATCAAAACATACTGTCATTTTAGTAATAATAATTGTGAGTCAATAATTCAGTGATAGTTTAAAATTAGGTACTGTCCCTTTTCTTGTACTAAAATTTTAATTCCACACACTACAACACTACCTATATTCAATACCGAAGAGTTTTTGGTTAGTTAGCCAGTTTCACCAGCAGGTACTGAGGTCCCGTACGGGAGGCTACTCAGCTATTGTTGTTATTTTGAGCCAATCGACTAGGCACGTCTTCAAAAACGAACAATGCAAGAAGCGTATTACGACCCCGCTGAATACGAATCTGCCTGTTGCCATAGCCAAATTTGAACCAGTAGTCCGGTATCCAAGATAGCGACCAAGATAGTGGTCAAAACTCTGTAGCCCTATATCTCCCTTGTCCGTTGGCTTGTAATAATGATTCAAACATCTGTTTAGGGGTTTTCTCAGATGCTAGCTACATCGCAATGCTTGAAATTTACTTCCCTTAAGTTTGGAGTGCATGGGCTCCAAGATGGCCGCCGAAGGAAGTGAAGAAAACGACCATTTCAGAGTTCAAACATTGTTTATTGCAAGATTGTAATAAAGGTAATAAAAAAATTATTCTAGTGTCGGTAGCTGAAGGCAATAATACAAGAAAGATAATAAATCAACAATTTAACTAGTTAAGACAGTGGTGAGAGCGGTGGCACAACTTGGTGCAAGTCAGTCCATTCGATGTTGCAGACACTTAAGCTGGGAGCCGTAGGGTCCATCAAATTGAACGACTGCATAACCTTGAGAAGTGCATCTTAGTCGGAGTTATCTCGTTTTCTTCGACCTAGTTTCTCCCCCCCAACCGGTTTTGGATAGGCCTTTTCCATACATAGCGAAGGTTTGCTGAGTGATTTCTCCTCTCCAGTGGAACGATAGAGCCCAGCGCTGAACCATGGATACATCTTGAGTTATCCCGACTAATCCACCTGCGCCCTTGCTGATGCCTATAACCCATTCCTGTGCGTGGTCTGGATCAACTCGGGAGAATTTCTGCGGGGAACGTAGCACTGCAAAGTCTCCATTCAAGAACTCTCCTTCAACTTCGGACGGCAACTGATTCATGTCACAGATGTACGCTGTGAGAAATCTGAACTAATTTCCGTGGCCATATCGGGCGATGAATAGAAGTATTTCCGTTGGAGCTCGTTAGCCCCTCGTAAACATTAGTAGCGTCAGGATCATGTCCATATAAAACCACCAAAATTCAAAATTTGGGCTTTCTTTGGACTTCATTTCCAACAGCTTGCAATACAAAGCCTGGTCTGTTGTCAGTATCACATGATGCTTTCCAAGTTTGTCAGCAGCCATAATGCATCTTCGAACGAGGGTGTTTAGTGTTTTCATCTCGTGAGTAGGGTTCAGGATCAAGGGCATATATCCCATTGCCGAAACTTCGTAAGTAGAGCTGGATGATTTTTTATTGAATTCCGTCCATCCCACCTTAATCCTGTCGTTTACTCGAGAAATCCCGAAGGCCAAATCTTGTATTCGAGACTCTTGGACACATAGCGGCAGGTTTTTCATATCTCCCGGCTCACTAACGCGAAACCAATCCGCTTCTACTGCTTTCGAAAAATATGGCTCCGGTCTCACCTTAGGAATTTTTGGTGGCAACAACTGATTCAGCACGTCGGGAACCTTCAATGTTGATTTGGGGTCAAGCTTCACAGTGCTCAACACTTCATCCGTTCTTTGGCCACCTCGTTGGAAAGCGACCATCTGGGTTGCGTGGAAGGTCCTCTTACCATCAAGGGTATCTGTCAGAATGTCGATGTTGTCCGCCGTTATATGCAAAGCTGGTTCACTGTTGTCTTCAGTTTTAGACGCCTTGGGATGACGGCACCGGTAGCCTTGTCAAGAGACTTAAAAGTCACATTTGCGAGAGCTTTATCCACTTGGACGACCTGCTTATAGCTCATACAATGCCCCGCTGAGTGAAGCAGAGTTACAAGTTTACGAGATCGTGTCTGCTGATGTACAGATAAAGCTAATCTGATATGTTTTGGTGTCATCGATCGAGACATCTTAATCGATGTCTCCTAAAGCAACATCCGCAGTCACCTTGGCCGAAAACTTCCGGGGTATAAGGAGAGTCTGCCTTCCTGTGATGTCCTTGTTCAAGGGCTGGATAAAAAGGAACAAGTCCTTGATGGTGTTCTGCAATTTATCTTCAAAAGTTGACAAGCGCGATTCAAATGACTTCGGTATGGCAACGTCGATTGTTCTGGCCAGGTGAACGTATCGTTCCCTTCCCAAACATCCGAGAGTTGCAGAACGTGACCCAGTGAGGCTGATACTTTAAGCTCTTTGCAAATTTGGATCATAGGTAAATTACTTTTGCCAGACTCCTTCATTTGCATCTGTATTTTTTTCTGAATCCTCTCGGCCTTCACTATACACAGACTGTGATATCTCACTTTAGATGCTATCAAGCATAGCATACAATTAATGCGGTCATTATTAGCCAGCATTCTTATAGTCTCATCCATTGGCTTTGACATCACCTGCCTCAGTGCTTCGCTTTTATCGCTTTGGCAGAAAATACACCTGCTCATGTCGACACAGACAGTCCGAGCCCTGGTGACGTATCGAGATGACGACGGTTCTGTAGCAGCACATTCCACCTCTTGTGAAGGCGCTGATTTGTTCTTTAACCTTTCCAATCTTCCAGAATTGGCAAAGATTGAGTACCATCGGCGGTGGTACTTGAATTTCTCGCCACTATTTGTCAACGTTTGTTCGATCCTAACAATAGTGGCAGCAAAATCAGCATCATGAAGTTCTTTCCTCAAGCCTGCGTACTTCAGAGGAGTTTCTTTGCCGTTATTTGTCAGATCTGATAATTTATCTTTCGAATATTTTCTCTTCTGGCAGATAATGCATAAATTATAGTTGGACGTTACAGCCATATCAACTAAGGAGCCCACCGTTGACGCCATATCCTACAAAAAACGTCAGTATATTACAAAAATTACAAAAAATACTAAAAGTGACACCTTCAGTAATACAATTCTATTACCAAATTGTATTTTGGAAGCTATATTGCTTGAAAACTCCTTGATAGATAGAGATATGGAGGCAGATTTGTGCATCCTTTAGTACTCAGGCATCTCGACTGAATCCTTCGAGACGCATAAGTACTAGAGGATGCAGAAATCTGCCCTCCATATCTTAATCTATCAAGGAGTTTTCAAGCAATATGTAACACATACAATAGTCTACGTATTTACCTTTATTCACTAAAAACTGTATATCTGAGACACAGATTTAATATCACTAGCGTGACAAGATAGGTAACGCCCTATCTAAAAGCACAAATATGTGTGAAATATCTCTACCTATTCCAAGCGATACGTAGACATAACGCACAAAAACTCTTGAAATAAACACACAAAATGTCAATGGTCCTCAAAAAAAAAAACTAAATCAAAGGGTGCTTTGATTACGAAAACGTTTCTTCATTTGTCAGGATTTTTGACATTACATTTCGAATTTTGAGATTACAAAATTCAATGACAAAGGAAAAATATAGCTAAGACACGTTTAAAAAACCATAGCTAGCTTTGATTTACTTTTCTTATGAAGACCCATTATATTTACGCTGTACGTCAATCGAAGGGGTTCGGTTTCTATCGGGAACTACCCAAACAATATATTACTCTGTTTAGCTAGACTAATACAGCGTTTTCTTTGTTCACCTATTGCGTTAGAGAGAGATTTCTAAAGACTTTGAAATCTGAATGGGTTTTCGGAATTCGGAAATTCTACTATGGAAAACCAGCGTAAACAAACATATCAAAATATT